ACCTTCTGATCGGCCCGGCCGATCGCACGATCGTCCTAGATGATCTGAACAAAATCCAATCGGCCTGGGACGATTTCTCAGGACGATAATTAATTTCTTGGACGATTTGCTCTCTGACTTGTGCCATGCTCTGATCGTCCTGGGACTATCCCAGATCGGTCCGGACGATACCTACAGGAAAATTTTCCTAGAACTTCTGTACAAAATCTGGAACAAAATCTGAACTGATCGTCCCAGGACGATCCCAGATCGGCACGGACGATATGAGCAAACTTGATGTTACAATCTTCCCAACTTCAAAAAAATATCGTCCTCGACATTGTCCAATCAGAACTCCGTCAAAACAAATACGGATACAACTTCCTCATGTCCGACTCTTTCTCCCAAGTCGCTTCTCATGCAGTTCGGTGCTTCCACTTCACCTTAACCATCGAAATCTGTTTACTCCTCAACTTACGAACATCGTAAGCTAGAATCAACTCGGGTTCTTCTTTATAACTCAGATTCTCCTGAATCTCAACCTCATCAGCAGACACTTTCTTTCCAGAGTCAGATATCCACTTTCTCAAAGTAGATACGTGGAACACGTTGTGCACATCAGACATCTGATCAGATAATAACAGCCGATAAGCAGATTTACCAATCCTTTCAAGAATTTCAAACGGTCCAATATACCTTGGACTGAGCTTATTCACTGTGCCAAATCTGCTCACACCCTTCATCAGACTGACTTTGACATACACAAAGTCACCAACTTGAAATTCAAGGAACCTGTGCTTCTGATTGTAAAATTTCTGCTGTCGATCTTATGCAGCTTTCAACCTTTCTTTAATCAAATTGACTTTCTTAATAGTTTCATCTACAAAAGTGGCACCCATCTCCTTTCTATCTCCAACCTCAGTCAGAGTCAAAGGAGTTCTACACTTCCGACCATACAAAGCTTCATAAGGTGCCATACCAATACTGGACTGAAAACTATTATTGTAAGCAAACTCTATCATAGGAATATGATCTTCCCAGCTTCCTCCAAAATCTAAAACACATAGCCTTAGCAGATCTTCCAGTACCTGAATAGTCCTTTCAGACTGCCCGTTAGTCTGCGGATGAAAAGCTGTACTGAAATGTAACTTCGTACCCAAACCTTGCCGAATACCCTTCCAAAGTATGGAAGTAAACCGTCCATGTCGATCAGAAACAATCACCTTAGGCACACCATGTAATCTGACAATCTCTTTCACATACACCTGTGCCAATCGATCCACCGGATCAGTCTGCCTGATCAGAAGAAAATGAGCAAACTTTGTCAATCGATCTACAATCACCCAAATGGAATTGTGCCCTTTCCTTGATCGAGGAAAACCCATAGCAAAATCCATTGTTATCTCCTCCCACTTCCACTCAGGGATAGGCAACGACTGC